GGTTTATACTAACCGTAACACTAAAACATTTTAGGAATCTATTCGCCTATGGTGTATTAGAACTGGTGTGTGCACACATAGAGTTGATTTATATGCAGAATTACAACCTGTTCCACCACCTTCTTCTCTGGTAATTATAATAAGTTTAATTAGATTATAATTTGTTGTATAATTTGTTTACATAATTTTTCTTTGCACTTTCAGGATTTTTACGTGCGTAATAGGTTTTGTATCTTAAGTTGTGGGGAAGAAACAGGTGTAAGATTGTGGTATCTGCAAGGTGAAACACTAACTAACTTTGATATTTATTAATATTTATTTTGCTTGGTTTCGAAGTTTTTACTTTTGGATTTTATGTTTGTCAGGGAAAGCTTGGAAAGATGGATGGTTATTTAAGAAGAGAAAGACCCAAAAACTGGATGCTGTAAGTATATAGTTCGGGTGTTTGTGTTCTAAATGTTTCATATTTTTAAAAACTAAACTTATTTTGGTTTTATCACAGTACGGAGCAACCCCACAATTACTTACTGTAGACTCCAATGTGGATTTTATTCGTTGTCTCGATCGTACTATTTTAACACGTGTTAGTATATTTTACATTCCTTCCCTACAAATTCAAGTATTATTTGTATTAGGTGACTGTATTAGGTAACTTTCTCTAATACAATGTTTGTTCTTGTTTTGTAGATGCCCCCGGATGAGTTGGTGTTGTTTAATTATTTGGGTTATGGGGAGGATGGGAACCGCGATCATATAAGATCATTTCCTATTGTTAGCTCGTCAAAGTTTGAGAACAACTTCCATTTCACACTTGCAGTGGGTAAGATATAGATAATGCAGTATTTAGTTTTTATTTATCTATGAATCTTTTTAACAATGTATCATTTTGGTTTTGGTCTTGGTGATTAGGTAACAATGATGGACACATTGTAATCTGGAATTTCTCTAGACCGAAAAATCCTCGAAAGATTGCAATGTAAGTCAAAGTAAATACTGAATATGAATATTTCAATATGCTTTGGTCGATGATTTGGTAGGTTGATTTTTGGCAAATAGGCTTACAGACGGTGATGATTTACCAATCACACATACTGCCATTTCTAATGATGAATGGTATGTGATATTTTGAGTTTTCATACTCCCTTTGTTCTATTCATTAACATTACAAATTCACAAATTTACCTTCTTTTCTTTATTATGGTCTTGGTTTTGATTTTGTAGCACTAAAGTTAGCATCAACAATGATGGAAGAGTTATTGTATGGAAGCGTGCAACATGAAATGTGTGTGTTTGGGAGATACCTAGTTTTCTACATTTGTAGTTAAATTTAGTTAGCCAGATTGTATTAATTTTTGTGGATTACTTTGACACTTGTGTGTTCGGGATAATTTTCAATTATGCATAATTACTTCTGCTTATTTTGTTGTGACTAATTTTTTTTTCACAAATTTAGTGATCAAAGTTTCTAAATTAAATTTTCTTATGAATGCTTTAAAAGATAAAGAATTGAGTAAACTAGCTAGAAAACAACAGATTGTTATGAAATTAGGTAAATGACAATAAGAATATCGAGACTCACTCAAGTGAATAGAAGATTTTGTAGCGGACAAAGACGAAAATAACCTTGATAACAGAACTTTGATAACAGATAAACTTTGCAATTGGGAAAACGTGATGAAATCTTTTAGCCTGCACGGAATATATTATAGGTTACTGTTTGACTCTGTTGTGTCAGGCGGCGGCATAAACTGCCGTGATCTCGAGATATGGAGACAAATACATACATCTATATGCCATCGGTATAATATACAATAACATATAGTTTGTCCTCTATATAAACTCATATCCGCCGAGTTAATAACCTCCACAACCAGCTAAACAAAAATCAAAAACATATGTCTTATCAATAATCATATTCTTTATCAACCAACAAAAGGAATTCATTGAAAACGACCAACAAACTTGTTTAAGGCTAGTCGAAATCTCTTCTTCCCTATTTACCATTATCCCTGTTTTTTAAAGAAACCCAGATTTTTTTGTCTTTATTCTTTGATAAAATTGACCGTAAAATGCATATACACCTCCATAAATAAGTAACTCAATTTGCAAATTAATCTTATTCTTTCTTTTTTTTTTGGCTGATTCTTTGTGTTTATATCTACAAATCCAGGTTCAATGGCTCTTTTTGTCCGCCTACTGAGAGGAAACTGGATTATTGGCCCATACGGCCGATGGGAATTTCAGAGTGAAAGTTCGGATCTAGGTTACGGCTACGGCGCACACCTTCGGGGAGATGAAAGCTATGAAGCTTTACTAGCAAACGTCCGAAGAAGGTTCTTGCTTGAGGGAACAACACTGGTGGCTTTAACTTACCGGATTCCACCACTGATGCCGGAACCTATTTCATCTGGTCAACTGCCTACAGATATCTTAACCGATAGTGATGTGGGTCTGTTCATGGCCATCAGATTGCTTCGTAGAGCTCACAATCTATGTGACTATCGGGGCTCAGTCTGTAGCTATGTATCAATTTAAGAGAAGATGACCGTTCACTGTTGGTAGGAGAACGTATCTGCAGGAATTAACAAACCCAGATGACATTTCTCGTTCAAATGCTGAGTACCACGGTAAAGATTCTTATTGTCTAGAGAATATACTAATGCATATTTGTACATATCTAAATATGCGAACTTTATACAGATCTGATAACAGGAAGGAGGATTGAAGGTGCTCGACGTGCAGTAGAGCAGATCTTCACTGAAGCCGAGATGCTAATGTTGCACAGAGTTCATTTTGAGATTCTGTACTCAAATCCACTTAACCGAGTCGGAGCTTATGGACAGATAGCGAGCCTACACCTCCGAATGATGAGGACGACCTGGACGATGATGATATTGACTTACTTACGGACGGATCAAATGGAACCACAGAGCAACGAAACATATCAAAAGCACCCAATGGTAGTAAGTTGTTTTATATCAACCACCTATACATATTGTTAGCCGGTTAATTATTTGGAAACAAAGAATCATTTAAAAAAATTATCTTACTTGAATTGTTTTTTGGTAATTTGAAAACTATACTGTTACTCAAAATGTTATCCGTTTAGAATAATCAACAGCTAAGCAAACAGTTTCAAAGATAATTAGTTTGCTACATAAATTGTTAGGCGATTTTATAGTTGGAAACTAAAGTATCATTTACAAAATTATCTTCTTAAATAATTGTTTTGGATATAAATTTAAAATCTTCTGTTACTTAAAATGTTATCCGTTTAAGATTTTGTAACAACTAAATACAATTTCAAATATAATTAGCTTGCTACAAAAAAATTTTGCGGGCTATTTGATCGACACTAACATATCTTTTACGAAATTTATCTTGCTACATAATGGTTTTACGGATAAATTTAAAATTATTCTGTTACTCGAAATGTTATTCGTGTAAGATTTTGTATCAGCTAAAGAAAGTGTTTCAAAATATTGTAATATAAACTTTTATGTTCCTGTTAAATTTATACGTAGCTGTGAAGAAATAGTTAAGCCGATTTGATAATTTTTAACTATTGAAACATGCTTTGTAACTAAAGTATAAATTCCAATCTCAAATAATATGACTAAAAATTGAGTATTCTGTAACTGGAACACAAGAAAACGGAACAAATGGTAAATGACACTTTCTTTATATTTTACCAATTTGAATATATTGAAAGGATTAGCTTGCAACTTAAACGTTTAGCCAGTTTAATAATTTTGCTGGATAAGTGTAAACTTAGACTATTATCAAAAGTGTTAGTCGGTTTAAGATTTTGTAACAGACAAAGTAACAGTTCTAAATATTGAAATGTAAACATTTGTTTTTTCTGTTTACACCTATACGTAGCTAAGTCATGATTGAGTCTTACTTTATTTTTGCAGGGGCAGTCGGGAACGGAAGAGCTGGAATACAACGCAGTCAACCTTCCTATGCACAAGGAGAATAGCTTTTTGGAGACGCCGGTATAAATCATTTAGACACATACATTCAACAAAACGGAAGCAACACTAATTTTGGCGTAAGTGATGCTACTTCATACTGGAATGGAAAAGGTGTCACAACATATCCTCCAGGGCAACAAACATTTGTTATCGGAGATATTTTTGGGATAAATCATGTTATCTATTCTACACAACCTGCTGCTATAGTCCCGAATATCATAACTCATCCCTCGGAAAACCTTGACATCGGTGCACTAACTCAAGAGAATGTTTTAACTCCAAACACAACTTTGATTACAACTGCTGTCAGTTCTGATTCATCTTCAGCCGGATTGTCAAGTGACATATGCATCATGGCTGATTTTGAATCAGAGCATGACCTACTCAATTTACCAACCCCACCTCGTGACCCAACTCTGGTGCTACCCGCGGATAATGACTCTCTTCCATTATCTCCCTCACAGACAGGTATACATATATATGTGCACACCAATTATTTGTTGAATTTAGCAAGTGAACATATGAATGAGAGTCTTTAACTTATGCTCATTTTAGTTCACATTAAATTTTATTTATATTAACTTCTCTAACCAAATTATTATTATCTTACATTCTTACACACAGATGGAAGTAGCAATGATGCTGTTGTTCCTTCAAACAATCACGTTGAGACTCTTGCAACAAGTTTGCCTGAACCAGATGGTCATTACCTCGACCTTACATTAACTTGCGGACCAGTCACAACTAACACAATTCCGGAGATAGAAGAGGATGATGGTGGGAGTTCTTCTGATGGGTGTGTCAGACCCTCTTGGTGGGTGTTAAATCTTAAAATTATGATGACTAAGTATTATTGTAATCTTATGCAGCTTCAGATATTGATAACGGCAAGTGTTTTCAAAACACTTAGGTGGTAACTATAGTTTGAACCACCATTTTTCTTAAAATCGGCTATGTTTTTTTTTTTTACGGCTACGTGTAAACATATCAGTATTTGTTAATCATTGTAATATACCATGTTAAAGTACTTTCTAATGTTTGCGTCAAACTCTTGTGTCTAATTTGCAAGTTTTTCTTCAATGTAGGAGACATGAAAAATAATGCTCATGATTTATTTGTGGGCATGATTTTTAAAAATCGAGAATCTTTTAAACAACACATGGCATTGTACAGCTTGCACCATAAGTTCTAATACCGTAACTCAAGATCTACGCCAAATCTAATGATACTTAAATGTTGGGGACTTTCATGCCAATGGCGAGTGTACGCAGCACGATTGGAAGGGTCATGTCTTTACGAGATAAAGAGTGTGATTTTTAGCCATTCTTGCACAGTCGATGTGCATCGTGGTTATGAAAG